TTTTAATTTTTGCAATACCTAGTTCTTGTAGAATAGTTTCTTTGAATCCAAAAGGAAATTTGAAATGTAATTTATATACAATGTTAAATTTTCATATGAAATTAGTGTATTAAAAATTAAATTAAGACAATTAAAACTGAATAGAAGTTGTAATTTAAAGAAAATTTAAATAAAGCACGAGTATGACGTATCATGAATGATTATATTTCCTACCACATGAATTCTCTTTGATTATGTATCATTTGTAATTTGATAGAGCTTTTTGGAGTTGTTTATATGTATATTTTTAACTTTTATGTTCAAAATTTGTTTAGAGGCAAAATTTTAATTTAACTTTGGTATCTAAAGAGTTTATAAGCAACCTAGTTGTGAGAAAAAAAAAAGGTATTGTTTCCATCAAATACTAGTTTTTAAACTTGTTAGAGAAAAAACATTGTTTATGAGTAAGTTAAATACTATGCTCCACCAAACGAACTCTTAATGAGTGATTGATTTTTATCTTAAGGTTTTTTGAGAAAACAATATTTGTATATGAGATTTTTTGTTAAGGATTTAATCAAGTCTATAGTGAAAGATAAGGGAAGTGCAGGTTACCTCTTGTTATTTTAATTTTGTATTTAATAATTAGAGCATTTATAAGTCAGCAATTATCTTTTGTTATATAGGGTGTACATGATCCATAATCGAACGTTAGGGAAAAAGGAAAAAAAAAAAAAAATTCCTTCTTTGTATAATCCATGAATAAAAGGAGAAAAAAAATGAACCCCTCAAATGTTAGCCAGAAGTGCCTTTCAAAAATACAAAAGAAAAAGGCTAGCCAGAAGCCCACAAAATTTAAAGGGCCCAAGGATTTCGAGCACAACTGAAAGTGGCCGAGACAACGATCGCTTTAACTTTAAAAGTTCAGGTAAGACCGATGGGCAAATATATTGGGCCAAACTTTCACTTAAAATTTAAGCCCATATCTTGAGTTCTCAGTAATGTATTCTGCTGCCCAAAAGGGAGAATCATGAATATGGAGAATAGAGACAACAGGTCATGAACTCCAATAAATTAACATATATAAGACAAAATAAACTCATGCTTACCTGGACTTGGAGGAGGTAGCTTTCACTAAGCTGGAACCCCTTATTCCCTTCGAGGATGCTTTACTTTTTCTCAAAAATCAATTGGGCAAATAAGACATACAGTTGTATAGAATATAGAGGGAGGAAGAGGGTGGACCATGGCTATGGAACTTTATTATGTCTTTAATGTAATTTGGATGAGTATGAGAAACAATAATGACAAATAATGGTTACAACTGTAAAGCAGTCAAGCCCATTTTCACTTACTATAAAGTCAAATAAAAAATGGAAAATTCTAGGTTCACATGTGAGTTATGCGATTATTATCTCAAATTAAAGACATGATAAAAAAAAATCAATAATTTAAGTAATTTTTTAGTAATTTTTTTATTAAAAATAAGATATTTTGAATTAAAATTGTATGACATATAAGAAAAGTTGATTAAAAGATAAAAGAAGATTACTTTTATTGTATTATCAAAATTTTAAAAAATAAATATATCAGCTTCAAAAATAATGTCAAAATATAGGTATTGGATTTTTTTTTTGATTGGTGATAAATTATAATTAAGTACAAGATTCCCACTTTCTAACTTTTGTTACAACTGAAGAGAGTGATCGTCTTTTTATTTTATTTTTTTTTAACCCAAGATATGCTTTTGGTGCATTATTGATTGATTATGAATGGGTG